TACATTAGTCAAAGAACATTCGTGCTTAGCTAACAAGGTGATAGCATGCAAAAATTCATTTAAGATTAACAATTAACATTTTGTTTTTTGTTTAAGAAGTCTTCTACATTATAAAAACTATTTACATTCAGCCAACTATACATTCTCTTTTTAAATAAATTAACATTTAACAATTTTAATTCATTCGGTATTTTATTATATACTTTAACACACATAGCCAAACAACTTTTTTCATATTTAGCTAGACAGAGAATGCCATCCAGCACGAGTCTATTTGGATTACGTCGATTCCGTGGATATATATCAGTAGCTTTTTTAAATAAACATTTATTGCTGTGTACAAACATACAAATTTCATAAATATATAAAGACGGTAGTGGTAATAAATCAAGCTTCCTAAATACCGGCTTACACGATTCACGAAGTGAAAGACCATACAATGCATATAGACATCAAAAATAGTGTATTTACTTGTCACAATTAATTTCGTCATAATCACAAATAAAATATCTGTTTTTACGCTGACGCAAACTTGCTGGGATTAATTTACAGAATTGCTAAAGACATCACGTTATGTACACATAGATAAGAAAATAATGCTTAACTGAGGACCTGTTTGAAGTTAGTCGAAAATAGTCTCGTTAGGTGATAGTAGATGTTATCAATCTAATGAGCTAACATCTAACGCGGGTTCATTAGGCGATAACATAGAGAGGTAATCAGACGTAAATTTATCTCGCTTTCAGCGGGTGTTACACCGATTTCGTTTGATATTTGTAAATATCTGACTCGACAGATATTGCTCTGTAAAAGATTTGTATATACTCGTAAAAAAGAAAAACATTTGATAAATGTAAAAATAAACGATTTTTCATTTATTACTTATTATTTGACGACTTATTAAACGAGAATTCTTCAGGTAAATTATTAAATCACAGCTCGGAATCTAGTATTAAGCGTTTGGCGCCCATTTTTATGCCTTTTTTTTAGCGGGGCGAGTAGTGTTGTCTTGCAATGATTTATTGTGATATTTCCACAATAATTATTAATTAAGTATATTTATTATTTCTAAAACTTACGATGACTCATTGTGAAGACAGGGTATACATGATAATTTTAAAAGGGAAATTACTTACTGTTGGTCATCATCTATTGGTTCATTAGTGGTATAGGACGTTTTATAATTTATAACTTTTTTCAGATATTCAGTTATTACCTTATTTTTGATTTTCCATAGAGAAAAATAGGCTTTTTATATATTCTGGATATTTTTTACAATTTTTCTACATTTTAAAATCTTTCTTGGACTTCAACGAATAATTTGAAAAGAAAAACGAATTTGTTTGGCAATTCTCGAGATTTGTGCTTAGCAACATATTTGGCGATTAATTGTTACGATAAGATAAAATATAGTTACAGCAAAAAATATTGACTGGAGTTATTGTAAAACTAATAACTACTAACTACAAACTGTTTATAAAAGTCATATTTTATTTTCATTGGCGAAAACATTTCCTAACACACACATATATATATATATATATATATATATATATGTGTGTGTGTGTGTGTTAGGAATAATAATATGTAGTAGCTTCTTATGATACAGGATGCATAAAAATTGTTTAGTAAAACTGAATATTTTCTCAAGGAAACATGAGTGTACTGACATAAAATTTAAAGGACTAATTTAACACTGTAATATATAATGTTAATTTATAGTTGTTTGCAACTTAGAATGGTAAACAAGCTGACGGCCCACCTTATGGAAAGTGGTAACCGTCGCCTATAGACATGAGCACCATGGACATAACAGAGTATACTGTTTCGTTCATGATACCCCCCATGCGTGATTCCTGAGGACTCAGGTGTTATTGCTCTGTACCCTGTAAATTCACTGCCTTATCACACCTTTCAAACCAAAACACAGCCATGCAAATACAACTGTTTCACGGTAGACACACGAATGGGACAGAGGTGCCTAAGCAAATGACTTTTGTACAAAGTCTATGTAATCTATGTTTTTCGTGATTATTCGTGGAGTAGACCAGTATACAATGAAGTACAGCAGTACTTCATTAGTTTTTTCCTACTTTTAAAACTACGGGTAAATAGCATCGGGGAAAAAGCTAGTAAAAAATAAAACAATTCATTAATAATTTTCCATTATTTATTACATCTATTGAACAGATTAACAATCATACATAGTGAACGGGAATTGTAGGACAGTTTACGTGAAAATGCATTTATTTGTTAATTTTGTTTTATTGTGGCAAATATTGCAGTATGTGTAATATTTATACATAGACTAGTCACAATGATTATAATTATAAAAAGTACTTAAAAAATACATTGCTAGCTAGGTGGTCGAAGACGATGTCCGGTTCGAAGGACCAAATATAGTAGTTACCTAACTACTATATTTGGTCCTTCGAACCGGTATTGTGAGAATATCTAATAATATTTATCACAAGTGAAATAATTTGCATACGTCTTCGTTCAAAGTACTTTATTGTCCGAAAAATAAAACCTTTTAGTACTATCTTTTATTTAGAGAAATTAGTGAAAAAGGAAAATATTTATTTATTTGATCGACGGGTTGAGCTTTACAGGAAATCATCAGTAGAACAACATATAGTTTACAATTATAATTTAAAAAATATTAATAAGATTAAAATACCATAGAACTACATAACAATAATAGAAATACAGACTGTGGTTATCCAACGAAACTCCAACAAGTTGGAGTTAAATATGTCTAATTGTGGATACTGGGTTAAAACATTATTAAACAAACAACATAAGTAGATCTTAGAGATATTGGACGACTTTATTTTAAAAATTTGATTAGATTTCAAGATGAATTTAATAGTTTTTTATGGATGTTAAGTTATATGGATTTATTAGTTAAAATCTTTGTAGTTTTAATGGTATGATAAAGGAAAAGAGAATTCTTACGGTTATAACTGATAATATTACAATCTCTTAGGTACACAGTCGTATATTTATACACTAGGCATACTTATATACTAGGTTAACATCTTCTTAATTATACTAATGTAGTTTGTGTCTGTTGAACCATTAATCTTTCGCAAATTGTTGCAAACGGTAAGTTAAGCTCTCCAAAACTGTTGTTGTCATATATCTTGTTTAAACAAACATTTTAGAGGGCAATTTGATACAATTTTAGATAATACTGTGTTAAATTATCTAATGTTAAATTATTGGGGGTAAGGGAGTGTTAGTAATGGGTTCTTACAGTAAATATGACACAATATACGTATCACGTAAAATTATAATTGGTTTTAAGTACATTGTGAGTATGAAATATTGAGTATGAAATATTGAGAATGAAATATTAAGTATAAATATTATTATCATTTTTGTTACTTATTCCTAATTGTTATACGTTAATGAACACAACAATAATAGGTAATATGATAACTAATTTATAACTAGAGCAAGAAATAAACAATTACTGTCTGTTTTCACTAACATCTATCAAATATAGTTTTATAATAATTGTTCTATATTTTTTTTACGAAGTCTTTCTTCCGTTTAAAAGTTTCCTCTTGTCAGTGCAACTAATTCATGCATCGTCTTCCAGCCAGCTCTATCCCAAGCCATATTATTGACCTCCCTATACGACGTGACACCTAGTGATTCCTTTATCTGTCCCATGTATGAGGTAACAAACATAAAAAAAAATACAATCAAACTGAGAACCACATTCTTTTTGAAGTCGGTTAAAAATGGTGTCGGTGTCTGCATATGTTCATGTCTTTGCTTATTTCTAAATATTTTTTTGATAATAAAGTTTAAATTACATGGAAACCTGTGGAGAGATCAGAAAAACAAAAATAATGTACTAATAAAATTTTTATACACGTGTAGAAATGTAATAAATTTTTAAATCAATTGCTATAAATAAAATTTTATTTATTTATTTGTTTTTGTATAAAATATAACTGTAGTTTAAATAGGTTACAACGTTAATATTAGATAATATTATTTTTTAAATGAGTACAGTATTTATGGTTTATGAACTGGGCTCTTAAAGGCCCCATGTAAAATCATGGGGAAATTAATATTTATACAAAGTAACTACAATTATATTATATATATATATATATATATATATATATATATATATATAATTTTTCAAACAAAAATAATAGGAATAAAATATCATACAAGTAAAATGGTTACATTAAGCTGTATCAAATAATATTTATTCCGTTTCTTTATATCCTCATCTCGGCCATTATCTGTCGATTGCTAAATATACGAGTAGGCCTCTTCATAGACTGTCATAAGGAACGGTTCTGAGCTACCTGCATCCACTGACTCCTGCAATGCATTTGAAATCGTCACTCCATCTAGTGTGGGTTGTCCTACATTACGCTTACCCATACGGCGTTTCTTCATATGTCTTTCAAAAGCCAAGGTAAGGTAGGTAGTATAAGGTAGGGTATTGCACCTTAATACCCCCCCCCCCCCCAACTACGGAAATGACAGAAGTGCTTATATGTATTTTGTTACAAATGTAGTAATGAGGCTGAGGTTCAATCATTATTAATAATATGATCGCATTAATTTGAAGTTGGGATAAAGAACAATTACATTTAATGGGAACATTTATTGTGGAACATATATGAAACCGCTGTCGTGAGAGGGGCAAATAAAAATGATAAATGAAAATTGTGAATACATTTCACTTCAGAGCGATAAGCTAACATGTTTATTAATTAAATCGAAATAGCTTCAATTTACCAGCACAATTTGTTCTTTACTAACTAATATCAGTATATTTACAAGTCCAATAGAAGCTCGTTGTAAAATCACAATATTTTAACGCCTTTAGCCAATTTGTTTATATATTTCACTCATGCTCGAATATCATTACACATATTTCACGTATCTGTCAGTATACATATATATATATATATATATATATATATATATATATATATATATATATATATATATATATATATATATATATATATATATATATGTATATATTTCACTCATCCATCATTATGTACATGTTACTGTCAATATATTTATTTCACTCATACAGTGGCTGTGTCGGTGTTAAACCTTTCGATCCGGTTCGCGCCCACGTTATCCGGTATAGGAACTGGCTTCCTTCTTCTCCTGTTTCGATGACCTGAAAAAAAAATTGCTCCCAAATAATGTACATTATAGATATTTATTATTTTCAACCGACTCCAAAAAAAAGATGGGCCATAATTCGGTTATATTTTTTTTTATATTTGTTACCTCAAAACTCCGTCAGTTGTAAACCGATTTGGAAAAATCTTTTTTTTTTATCTGAAAAGATATTCTTACAGATTGGTCTCAAAGAAATTTTATCAAAATCCGTTTAATACTTTAGTTTTTAAAACATAATAACTTGTTTGAAGTCGGTTTTTAAAATATAATTATTACATTTTATTTTATTATTACATCTGGAATTAACAGCTTATATCTAGAAATATTAAAATGTATTACTACCATATGGTACTGGCATAAAATGGACTACCGTCTCCTTTCCCTTGGGTGTCGTAAAAGGTGACTAAACGAAATTAATGGCTGAGAGATGGGTAGCAGCGTTACTTTTAAAACGTCAACAAAGGCTAACTGCGGTTACCAAACTGCCTGCCAAGCATGGTACCTACTAGTAAAACCCCTCAAAGGGGAGGAATATGTTCAACAGTGGATAATTAACAACTGATATATATTTATACCATACATTACAACAAATTGCAAATTTCCAATTTGTATACCAAACAAAGTTATGCAAAATTTTTTTGAGGCATAAATTTAGATATTTTGCAAGCAACTTGTAACCCGCTCTGCACCAAGCACTGGTATAAATTATACTTTCTTTTGACCTTTTGTAAACTCAAATTTCTGTACGTATTTACAATTCTGGTGCCATCGTTTTATTTTTGACAACTTTGTAGGTTGAAAGAAAGAAAGATTTTTATTCAAGCAAAACGTAAATTTTAGCATTTATGAATAGTCATTTTTTAATTAATAATATTCACTAGACCTTAATTTATTTTCATACTGAAATTCTGTCATTCATGTTTCATACACAGTTATGCAAATGTAGGAATAGCTTAATTAAAACAGGATAATTAGTTTATAAAGTTTATAATTAGTACAAGTATACGTCCTCCACCACGTATCGGAGCGAAAGGTATCGACTTTATCGCAGACTAGCGACTCGCCTCGGTTTCGCATGACAGAATGAATGGGGAGCGTAGGATCTGTATTTTTTTAAAATAAAATATAAATCATGTTACTCGCTGACTAAACTTTTTTTTACAACTTAGAATGGCAAACAAGCTGACGGCCCACCTGATGGAAACTGGTAACCGTCGCCTATAGATATGAGCAGTATCATGGACATAACAGAGTATACTGTTTCGCCCATGATACCCCCCATGCGTTGCCATTCCTGAGGACTCAGATGTTATTCCTCTGTACCCTGTAAATTCACGCCATATCCCACCCTTCAAACCGAAACATAGCCGTGCAAACACAACTACTTCACGGTAGAAACACGAATGAGACAGAGGTACCCAAGCAATCGACTTTTGTACAAAGTCTCCCTCTGGTAACTAGCTTTCTGTAGATAATGGAATTATTAAAATTGGTTAAGTATTATTCGATTCTATTCTTTATAAATTAAAATTCAATTCTTCTTTATACATAGAATAAAAATAAATGCTTATATTACTCGCTAACAATTAATATAACTTTCTATAGGTGAAAGAGTTTTAAAAATTGATTGAGCAGTTCTTGAGTTTATCCTTTATAAACAAACAAAGAAATATTTCCTTTTTTATAGCATTATTATAGAAGTATAGAAATAACTTTTTTCTAAAAAAAACATCATATTTTGTTAGTCTCAAATTTTGGGCGAGAACAGAAAGATTTTTTCAGATATCTATCATATTTTTACATTATGATTTTCAACAACACTATTAAACAACACTAAAAGTAGCCTATCAACCTAACAAGGTTAATGGTGAGGTGGGGATGGGGGGAAGGGATTATTAGTAATTGGAACTACCAGCCTCATTGCTAGTAATATACGCCGTTAGGTCGATCTCCCTGCGATCCTTCCTGGAAACCAGGTATATAGATCACAATGGGCTAATTGGCCTGCTATTTCATCCTTACCTATCATCCTTCACTGGTACCCCGTCAGCGTATACCGTTAGTGCAAGCGGGGTTACCATTCCATTATCATCCATTAAAAGAAACAAGACTGAAGTCCTCAAAAAGTAACCCAATTTTAGAAGGCTCTGTTCTTGGTGACAGTTTTATCAACAAGTTATTTTTACCCCATAAAAGTGATAACCAATGTGGTTTGAGTCGAATATTCTTCGTTTACAATATCAAATTACGAAGTGAGTGCTATATTTGTTTATTGTAATATTTGGGGCGCTTTGATTGGAAGGTCATTGAACTTTTCCTTTGATAATACGCAAATTTGCTTTTGCTCGTTGCCTAAAGGACTAAGGTTTCCTTTGTATACAGTTCCAATTTGTCATGTTTTATTAAGATATAATTAACTATTATTGGTTTATTAACTAACGAGACGAAGATTTTATATAAAAGTCGTATGCTTGGGCACTTCTGTCCTATTCACGTTTCTACCGTAAAGCAGTTGTGTTTGCATGGCTGTGTTTCGGTTTGAAGCGTGAGATATGATAGTGAATTTACGGGGTATAAAGGAATAACACCTGTCCTCAGGAATGGCAACGCTGGGCGAAACAGTAAACTTTGTTATGTCCATGGTACTGTTTATGTCTATAGGCGAAGGTTACTACTTTCCATTAGGTGAGCTGTAAGCTTGTTTGCTATTCTAAGTTATATATATATTCCTAGCTTATCTCATGAAGTTAGTTATTAAATCCCGTCTCTGATTCGAAATCGAGAACTTTTTTTTCAAATCGATTGAAAACCTTAAAAACTTTTGTAATCAAACAAAATCACATGCACTACACAATATACAATTTGCAAAATTCCTATACATTTACCATGTCATATCAAATATAGTTATATTATTCTGTAATTAAACAATTCCAGTATTTTGTACGTTGAGGGAAAATTATATACCAATATTAATATGGCTAATAGAATGGCTAATGTATAATAAATTAAATGGAAAGTCAGATATTTTCAGTTAGGTAATTAAATACAGGAACCTAGGGCCTTTTTCTACAATGTTTAACTAAGAAAAATGTTGCTGAAGTCCAAGGGTTCGTTGAGCTTTCGCGGAAAGGCTTTATGTTTTATAAGAGATGGAAATTAATACGATAATTTACGTAAAATATGAACCGAGGCAGAAGTATTCAGAGAATACTTTTGTCTCGGAAGCGGAGACATGACAACGCTACATTTGTTTACTCGTGGCAACGGCCGGTGTAATCTGATAGACTACCATGAAAAATATTCCGAAATTTCCGGTCCGAATGAAACACAAACTTGATGTTTAAATTACATACCAGAGGGAGACTTTGTACGAAAGTCGCTTGTTTGGACACCTATGTCCTATTCCTGTTTTAATTGTGAAGCAATTATATTTGCATGACTGTGTTTCGGTTTGAAGGGTGGGATATGTCAGTGAATTTACAGGGTACAGAGGGATAACACTTGAGTCCTCAGGGATGACAACGCATGGGGGATATCGTGGGCGAAACAGTACACTCGGTTATGTTCATGGTATTGTTCATGTCTATATGCGACGGTTACTACTTTCCATCAGGGCCATCAGCTTGTTTGCCATTCTAAGTTGCATAAAAAAAAACATAATACATTTAAAATTACATATTGTTTAAAAGTATTTAAAAACAATAAAATATCGTTTCTTTGAAATTTTATGATAGGATTTATGCCGAAAGAAATGTTAAGCTTCATTTATTGGGTTGAATTCGGCACGAAAACGAGTCCGAAAATTCGGTGTTTCATTTCATGGTAGACCCCCCTGGTCGACGTCGAGATAATTCCGGTACATTATCACAGCTTACCTAAATGATCGTGTTAATTCCCATCTCTTATAGAACACAAAACATTCAGCGTGAAACTCTAAAATTTAATACTCGAAAAGACCTATAAGAGAATCAAAATGAAGAATTAGTATTGTGTGTGTATTAGAGGAGTTTAAAGCGAAGTAAATGTACTTATGAAATATATTTTATACTTATAAGATAATGTTAAAAGATAAAGTTAAAATTGTAGAATATTGTAAAGAAATACATGCACATGATTACATTAAAAATGAAATAGAATTTGTTTATGTATCTTTTTTATATTATGAGTACAAAATAAAAATATAACAATTTAGGATTTGTTTCAGAAAGAAAGCAGTCTTCAATTTGGGGAAAATTTTAATTTAACAATTAAATTACTGAATCGATTTTGACAACATTTTTATAGTACTAATCTGAAAAAATATGCTGTCAGAAAAAATAAGAATTCAAATAAGTTTATAATAAATAAGGGAGTTATGAGGTAACAAACATAAAAAATACTTGTCTTACTTATATAATTATACTTGAAATACTTAAAATAATATATAATAAGAAGTGTTAAACAATCGCAGGAATGCCGTAAAGTTTTAATTTTGTTATTAACAGTTCAAATGTTTTAATAGAGATATGTTGAGCTCTTTTTATATTAATTAATATATATATATATATATATATATATATATATATATATATATATATATATATATATATATATATATATATAGCACTATATGGTAATATGAGCTTGCAGCATAAGATATGATCTCATTAGGAATAGCTTGGCTCGAAATGCACGTAGTGACTAAGTGGTAAATAATTGACTGTGATAATCACAAACTATTCGTGTGATGCCATTACTAATCACTATGCAGTATGGTAGTCTCTGTATTTTAAAATGATGAGTAATTCTTGTAGACACTATAAGATTGGGGGAAAGTAACCAGTTAAATTACTTTTTGAAGTATTCGTTCCATAGTGTCAAATTAACAGTAGAGATAATCTGAGCAAAAACAAAATTAAAATGTCCTTGTATGAATAGATGTATGCATATGTTTAAGTTAACAATATTCGAAACCCTGCAGTAGATTTAAAAAAAATTACGTTTTAAAAGTACTTGTAAATCTATTTGAATAAATATGTTTTATGTTTGAATTTGAATGTAACAGAAGCTATAGGAGTATGTAACATATGTGTATGTATGTTAGGGTAAAAGCTAGTGAGTGGTAAGTAATGGTATTTCTCAAAAAAAAAGGAAAAAGTTGCTTTAAGTAAAAATATTTATTTATTCATTAGTACAAATATGTGTACATGGTGGATTTAATGCTAAAATCATTCTCTCCCTGTCAACCATAGGGAAGTGTCAGAATACTCGAATGCGATACTACTAATTATTGATATACATACATACTAAAATGACATATATAAACGAATAAATAGATATACTCGTAAAAAAATACTTACACATATATAAAATATACTATATTATACACGAAATTGAGAATAATATAAAGTACTTACAGTTCGGATAAAGTAAAAAAGTGAGCATGAACGTTTTCTTTTAAAGACGGCAGTAATAAGACGGAAATATTCCCTTAGAAAAGTTCTTAAGAGAAAAGAAATTGCGATTTTGCAGATTCATTACTACATCCAGGAACAGTCGAAACACGAGAAGGTGGTACAAATTAAATTTATGTAGTTCATACTTTGTTTTAAATGTATAGATTATACGAATTTAATAAAACGGACGCAAGGAGAGAGGGTTTAATCACGAATTCGTGAAACTGACAAATTTTCTAAACGAACATGGGTCCGCGGTGAAAGTTACTGGGATTAATTAATAAAATTGCTGGATTTCAATCAATATACCTATTCATCACACATATAGTATATACATTTTACATTGACTCAATTAAAAGAGACATGTAAAAACAGGACCAACGTTTATTACACGCTAGCGACAAAGTCTTCCTCTGGCAAAGCTATAGTAAAATTCCTTATAATGAAAATTTTAAATGAATTACAGCATGGTTAATAGTTAATAAGATTTTATGAAGAATTCGTAGCAAAAATAATTTAATTCGAATAACGATAAACATATTTTATAGGAGACGAGAATTAACGCGATCATTTAGGTAAATTGTGATAATTTAACTGAATTATATATAATTAATAGTCTTAGATTATATACTATATACAGAGCATCGACCTCAAAAACGGATCAACTTTTTGTCAGTTATTTGTCAAATGCTGTATACATACACATAAAATGTATCTTGACGTATTATTTAATAAGTAAATTAAGTGTTAAAAATAACGCATTAAAAAGATGCAGAAATTATAAGACAAAATAAATATAGAAGTTATAAAGGAATCACTCGTAACTATTTATCACGCAAAATTGTATGAAAAAGTTGACCCGTTTTTTTTGAAGCATTTCTATAGAGACACTCTATCTATATAATCAAGTTAATAGTATAGTGACACAATTAGTGTAATGAGTGACAATAAGAGGGTAACAAAAAAATTTTTTTAATAGAAATTACAAAAAAAATTAATTATTGTCAGAAAGACATTACAGCGGTACAACGGTCTAATCGTGACCACGGCTGGTACAATGTTGTCGAAAACTTAAGACAATTTAGGTAAACTGTCTAGGTTCACTTAAATATTTCCATTAATTTCAGTCTCTTATAAAACATAAAACATAAGTGCGGAAGTCTAAAAGTTAATAAGGTTAAATATAACTCGAATTACTGTCAAAGAACTAAAAGAGATTTACACAATTCTCTTAGGATTGTGTAGGTAGATGCCTATTGAAAGTTTTGCCACTTATTACAATGGGCACTAAGCTGCATAGGGATCAGTTGGAGAGTACACTTGACATTACTTTTGATACTCTTCTTGAAGACAATGACCTGTGGCAATAAATCATTTTTAGAATGTATAAGATGAAGAACTAGCGCCAAGCTTGAAGCAAGTAATAATAATTTTTGAACAATCTGAATATTGAGAAATTATTTAATTCAAATGTTAAGACTGACATTCCATATTGAAACATCTTGCGTCTCAAGACAAGTGGAAAATTAATCTGTCGATAGTCACGTTGTTGCTGTCGCGTATACGAAATAGAGCGAGACAGCAATGTTTGGCGTACTGTCTTTTCTCGTGTGTGCGCTTACGTAGTTCTTTATTAATAGATTTGTTTACAACTTGTCTAGGAGATTTGTGGAAACAGATGACAGTTAGAAAATGTTTCAACTGTACTGTGACTTTTTCTACATTTATATATACAACTAAATAATGCTACTCGATAGCCTAGTATCCTACTATAAACAGACTACCTTTGTAAAGTTGACACTCAAAAAAACACTAGGAGGTAGGTGGGTATTTATTGTTTATTGTTATCTTTCATGTATTTGTTGTGATCTTTACACTGTAAAGATATATAAAAGATAAATACATGTAACTAATGGTGTTTCAGGCCATAGTTTCCAGCATAGTATCTTTAATATTAATAAATCATTATTTTTTTGGAATTTGGATAAAGGAAAAATATTTAATCTGACGAGACAGCAACAAATACCTCCAAAGAGTTCATCGACCCCGCTACTCAGGGTATCTGTAGCAGGAATCAATGTACTTCTCATAAAATGAGAAAAATACTTGAGTGTTTGTACTGAAATACAAAGAAATTGTTTTGGAAGCGATTATAAATAAAATTCGATTCCGCAGTCGAAGGCTCTTTTTATAAAATTCTGCTGTTTTCACCGATCATTCTGCATGCGCCCTGTCAAATTGTGCATACTATTTGCGACCAATAATATTATGTCAATCGTCCAATAGTCAAACATTGCGGTCGGCTTCTAAGCGGTCTTCTCTGGAAACTATCGTGAGTTATTGTGCTGAATTGATCGCAAAGAGTCAACTAACTTGACTTATTTATCAATCATCATTCACTGGTACACCTTCAGTTTATATCCAATCTTTATATTCGACCAAAACTCACTCTACACTATAGATTATAAAGTATATAGATTGGTAATGTAAAAGAAAGAAAACATAATAACATGTATGTAAACAATTCACCTACACAATATAAGCTCGAAGCTGATTTGTCGGAGGTGTAAATAAAACAAGTTCTTATTATTCTTACGTTTTGAAGGGGAATTAGTTTTAAGTGAATGTAGTTAATAATAATAACACCTGAGTCCTCAGGAATGGCAACGCATGGGGAGTATCATGGGCGAAACAGTATATTCTGTTATGTCCATGGTACTGCTCATGTCTATAGGCGACGGTTAACACTTTACATCAGGTGGGCCGTCAGCTTGTTTGCCATTCTAAGTTGTATAAAAAAAAAGTTAATTAGAATTAAATGTGCTGTACCTGGATATAATATAAATTGGAAAAAAGTAACACAAAATTGCATATTTTTCACGTAAATATATTGTAAATGTTTATCTCTTTAAATGCAATATTACAGAAATACTTCGTACAATAATTGATAGAAAAATATATCTTATTTAAAGGAAATAAAGTTCTAAATGTTCAAGAACTGACATTAAATTTATAGTAAATACGTAAATTCCTGCAATTATTGCAACTAAAATTCTGTATAAATTTAGAACTGTCACGTGCACACATTTAGAAAGCACGCACACTAATGCAACAGTTTTCTGGTCTTGCTTATGTGATTGTATTGTCAATCTGTCACTACATAGTACGTTATATCACATGTACACTATATACAAACATAATTATAAGACCACGTTATAAGGTCATTCACTGGAGGTGTCAAAGTGATAAATGATATAATGCAATACTTTGTGAGTACGCATATTTTTACAAGGACTCTTTTCGTTCAATCGTTTTAGTGGAACTTCATTGGATTTTGGTACGATATTTCGACATCGGAGTAATTTCGCGTGAACATGATGAACCGTTATTAAATATTTACGAACTACATGCAGTGAATTGGACGAACCGTTGAATTGTTGCTCGTACCGGCATTACAATAGTCCGAACTATATTTAAAACACTTTGATAACATATATAAGCTTTTATAATATTATCTGTCATTTTGCGGCTGCGACCATTTCGAAAATATCATAATATTGTGTATTGTCTATTGTATTGTTACAAGAACTAACGGTGTATAACGAAATTTCAGCTTAATTGAATGTTAAGAAGTGGTTCACTCAGATTTTAAGATTTAACTTAAAAACTTAACAAATCATCATCGTCATATCAGCCTTTAACTGTCCACTGCTGAACATAAGCTTTCACCTTGAGGGGGTTTTGCCAGTAGTTGCTACACTTGGCAGGCGGATAGGCAACCGCAGTTAGGCTTTGGAGTTAGGTTTTAAGAAGGACGTTGCTGCCCATTTCTCGCTCTCCATAGTCGTCTTTTACGACACCCACGGGAAAAAAAAGGGTGACCCGGGACCAAACGGTAACATATATTGCAAGTTAAATAAAAGCTTATAAAAAGAATTCGGATTGAGAACCCCGACTCACCTGCGTGACAGGCCGTGCAACGACAGGTGCCGGCAACGCCGGGTGAACGCCGCTTCCGACAGCGGTGCTTTGAGAGCCGCTGCTAAACACAATCCTCTCCCTCCAGACCATCTAGCTCTATGGACAAGAGGCCTTGATTAGTTTCTGTTTTTACGAAATAGAAATATATGAATTGAGAGATTTCTTTGAACCTTCGAGAAGTTGCAAATTATCAATGAGACAGTCGGGAATAAAAACTTGTCAATAAATGATATCCGCAAGAAAATTTTAAATGCTGGCGACGCTATTTATCTATTATGTTTATTCTTCAAATTGTTCTCGTTGTTTTCTTAACCGTTCGAGTATTGAATTTACTTACAATAGAAACCTTTACTATAGCAATTTTCGTCCTCGAAATAAAGTCATCTCTATCGAAAAACGGAATTATTATTTTTTATTCAATTTATTTTCGTGAGCTTTACAGTTTTCCAATATCAGCTCACCCAGAAAAATACATGTACGAGAAATATTGTAATAAAATACAATGCTAATTTATCGTTTTATATTTTACTTTCGAATGACTTTTTCACTGCGGAAACTAATCTATTTAGATCCTTGGTGAAATTTTCTCCAGAGATTTCATTTTTTTGAGCAAATCTACTACTGTTATCTTGTACAATTTCTTTGAATGTATGTCGCAGTGAATTCTGAGGATATTTCAATTCCGCAGAAGGTTGACTCCAGCCCGATTGACTATGACATATGCAGATTCGTCGAGCTTATTTTTTCTAATTAATGATATTCCTGATATTTCTGTAGTCTGTTTCAATAGAATTTAATATAAATTATAATAAAAAAGGCTCTCTAAATTATATTCGTAATAAATTTTAACATTCAGTCAATCGATATTTGATTCGTACTTCTATTGGACATCAGCAGACTGGTTTATAGTTATTTTTTAAGACCTGTTGAGAAAGGTTAAGTAATTCTTGCTATTAATTCTGTAAAGTTCTAGAAAGCTCGAAAAATGTAGGAGAGAACATTGTCATTATTTTTTTTTACAACACAGGGGGCAAACTAGCATGCGGCTCCCCTGATGGTAAGTGATTACCGCCCCCCATGGTCACCCACAACACCTACGGCATTGCAGGTATGCTGCCGGCCTTTTAAAAAAGAATATGCTCTTTTCTTGAAGGTTATGTTGTGGTATCGGTTCGGAAATACTGCTGCTGGAAGTTGATTCCAAAGAATGGTTGTGTGTGGAAGAAAGTGCCTTGAAAAACACACGGTGGAGGACCGCCACTCGTCCAGATGGTTGGGATGAAATTCTAGTTTATGGCGGGTTGTATGATGGTGAAAATCAGCAGCAGGTATCAATCCGAACAATTCTTCAGAGCACTCCCCATGATAAATTCAGTAGAAGATGCACAGAGATGCAACATCTCTACGCAGTTTCAGTGGGTCGAGCCGGACAGTAAGACGCCGATCGTCAACAATCGTCAACAAACGAGCTGCCCGACTTTGAATGCGGTCTAACGGAAGGAGTTATTTCTATGACATACCATTTTGGATAAATCTCGTAAAACTTACCAGTGCGACCAGTCTGACTTCCCCTCACGATAGCGGTAACTTCTTGACTGGAAGGTGGTGGGGTGGCTGGCTTATCGTTGGATTTCTCATTAAAACACCTCCTGAAATACTAAATATAATTAAATAAAGTCTTCGTACATAATAATTAGTTTGATTTCTTTCTTGAACTAGGTGTTATCTATTTAATTAACCATTGATTTGCCTTTTTACAAATATTTATAATACATTTATTTATATTATACACAGTTTTGTTTTGTCCTAACCACTTTTGTCTTTTGTCTGCCACTTGTCTTGTCCCTTATAAAGTGACAAGACAAGTGGCAGACGAATATATAGATAGATACAATATTACTATCGCATGCATGAGATAGAACGTGACGGCAACATTCGGCATTTTATTCTTTTAGATTCCTTTTCTACTTGTCTATCAGGGTTTACCTTTTAAATAAGTCAATAAATCAATTCATACACTATTTATTGTTGCCATGTTCATGAAATAGAAAAGAACAGTAATATCTGGTACTCTGTCACACACGTGAATTAACGAAAACGTATCTATCTGAAGAGTATTTTTTTAATGGGCGATAATGGCATGGTAACCCCGGCTGCGCTATCGGTATACGCTGGCGGGACACCAGTGAGAGATGATAGGTGAGAATGAAAACAGATCAGTTAGCCCATCGTGACAAATTAAACAAGACTTAGCCACGATGGTTTCCAGTGGAAACCACGTGGAATTCGACCTGATAGGGTAAAGTGTTAGCAATGGGGCTGTCAAACCCCAATACTAACAATCCCTTCCCGGTTTGAACTATCTGCAGAGTCGTTTGCTATTTGCCTAGACAGACTGGTATGAATATAGTTTGGAAATGAGATATCTAACCATATAAGCTAGGAGGGGAAGGGATTGTTAGTAATGGGGTCAAATAGCCCCATTACTAGCAATATACCATATCAGGTCGATCTCTACGTGGTTCCCCCTGGAAACCATCGTGGCTAATTCTAGTTGAATGCGTTAAGATGGGATAACTGACCTGCTTCCATCCTCATCAGTCATCTATCATTGGTGTTCCGCCAGTGTATACCGATAGTGCAGATGGGGCTACCATACCATCATCACCCACTAAAAAAACATATAAGCTACATTATATCATAAATACTCAAGCCTTTTATGTCTAAATAAATTTACTTGATATGTACTGTCTATATATGTATATTTAATTAGTAATACATAAACTATCCTATATGCTAAGTGAGGATATAATTGCATTCGAGTATTCTAACACTTCCCTATGGTTGACTGGGAGCAAATCCTTTTAGCATTAAGTCCGCCATTTACACATATATATACTAATCTATACTTATAATAAATCTGTAGAGAGGTCAATTCTGTACATGAAATATATTTCAAAAATAACTATCAGGGGGTGATTAGTGATCGATACTGATGGCAAAAATGCAATCAGTAAAATTTTTCTCTGTCTGTCTGTATGTTCGTTATAGAAACAAAAACTACTAGACGGATTTTAACGAAACTTGGTACAATTATTCTTCATACTCCTGGGCAGGTTATAGCATACTTTTCATCACGCTACGATCAATAGGAGCAGAGCAGTGAAGGGAAATGTGTCTGTTACATCAAAATGAACCGTGAGGAAGGACATAAGCTACTTATTTAACGAAAAACGACGGAAACTTGGACGAAGTCGCTGGCAACAGCTAGTAAATAAATAAATTAATAACCTACTCGTATGTCAAATTTCACTCGAATCCATTCAGTAGTTTTTTTATAGCACAAAGGTGACAAACAAGCATATAGCCCGTTTGATGATATACGATCACTTGTCTCTGGACGCCTGCAACACTAGGGGTATTACGTGCGCCTTGCCGAGTCTGAAGAAACTTAATACATCCTTTTTGAAGACCTCCTATTGTAGTTTTTGCGTGAAAAAGTAAATAAAATTCATCCATCCAATCACCCTTACAAACTTTCACACTTATAATATTAAGATCGCCTGTGTATCAAATTTCATTCAAATCTCAGCCGTCTGATCAAGGGGTATAGGTTTATTGTCTTTTAAAACTTATGTTTATTTTTTATCCAATGTCTATATTATGAGCAACTATGAAGCGAGACGCTGTGATGTAAAGCGCCAAACGTCCCCTATAAAAGATTTCCGGATGAAGTCGAAATAATTGTCGGAAACAACAAAAGCACAATGAGTTCATTAAATTCCTGTTACATATGTATATAGGCATCGAATAAAGAATTACTATAAATTTTAAAAAGGATGTATTAGTTTGGTTTTTAATTTAAAGTAACCAATTTTATTATGAGAAGTTGATTACTTTTTGTGCAGCAATATTTTTTGCATTACATAATACCTACACTTACCACATTTATTATGTTTTATTTGGATTATTGGTGTAATTATAATAATTTATAATGTAAGCCGAAATACCAAATATTCCACCAAATATTATGTCCGCATTAATTATGTGAACGAAACATCAAATGCCCTAATTGTTAAAATTCCAAATAATCTTAAACCAGGAAACCTTACAAATATTGCCAAAGATACTTGTATATATAGATAGCTAATAACGCTTGATACTTGACGCTTATGTAGGAGCGAATTGACCGACTTTTCTCGTACACACAAGCCAGCTACCCTCGGCAAATGTCTTCGGAGAATCTCCGCAGCATTTTCCAAAATGCTGGTGATTTCTGTGAAAGTGTTCTTAAACTTGTTTTGTATGACTAATGAAATACGAGCAATCCCATATCACCGATAAATTCAAAATCTTAATGTACGAGTAGATTCTATTTTTAAATAAATTTAAATAGTATTCCATATTTAAATACCATAATTGTTCGGGTGCTTGCTTTTAAATTTATAGCTTAATGTCGTTCGAAACATTTATTGGTATTAAAGTTTGTTTCAGATTGTTTAGTTATTGAAAACTATCTATCTATATTCAAGGCCTACTTGAATTTCATAATGTCAATAAAGGATTATAGATTTTGGAAGTGTAATAAGCAAATCTATTAATAAGCATTTTATAGTCACTACAATTGCGTAAGATATAGTGTTAAATGGATATTGATATCGAGTTATATATTCACAGCAATCATCATCATCATCATCACATCAGCCTTTAACTGTCCACTGTTGAACATAAGCCTCCCTCTTGAGAGGATCTGCCAGTAGTTGCCACGCTTGGCAGGCGGATTAGCAATCGCAGTCAGGCTTTAGAGATGTTTTAAGAGGGACGCTGCTGCCAATCCCTCGCCCTCCCTTACTACCATCTAAATTGCACTTGAACAAAAATTTTGTGACGCTGTAAACGTTGTAAAAACTACTATTAATTAACGGGAAAACTAGTGCAGGAAAGGTATAGAAAAAAAGGTATACAAGGTAAATACAAATAAAATAAATATACACAAATTGTAAACAAATGTAATAAGTCATAAAGGTATCACTCATAACTATTTATCACGGAAAATTGTATAAAAAACTTGACCCGTTTTTCTCGCAGCATTTCTTTGGAGACACTCTATAACCTATATAATGTTAAAAGGTAGCCTGTTTCATAGTTGCGCAACGCGAAATCAAAAGGAATTTCCAAAAAAATGAGTCTTCCGAGTAAGGAGTTCAAGTACTTTGGACTGGACCAAACAAGCATGCCTGGGAAGTGAGGGAGGTCGCCTTATCCTTATATTGAAGAATTGTGTCATATTGACATGGGTCATATGACAGTTAAGTGGCGACATTTTGTCCGATAAAATCCTATATTTATTTCTCGTCGTAGTAAGTATAAATTATGAGTATTGGGGGGAAGGGGATTGTTAGTAAGAGGGTCTAACAGCTCCATTGCTAGAAATATATCCTATTAGGTCAACATCCACGCAGTTTCCCCTGAAAACATCGGGATTAAGTTCTGTTGAATTCTTCACAATAAGCCAACTGATCTGCTTTCATTCTCGCCTATCATCTTTCACTGGTACCCTGTCAGTGAATACCGGCAGCGCAGAACATTTGTGTTGTTAAGTATGTTTATGTATATATACACACACATGCTTGCAAGCACGCACGAACGCACGCACGCACGCACGCACGCACACATACACACACACAGTTAACGATTCATATGATATACGATTTATATATTTATACGATTCATTTATATATTCGTAGGCTTTGAAAGTACAAAGTATTTTAATTTAGTAAGCATTCGTAAATATTTTTTTACTATATAAGTGCTGCAGCTTTACTTGTCACAAAAAATAATGTGGGACAAACACGAGAATAAATCCCTGTTGATTGCTAAAAGAATTTTTCAAATCCTTTCAGAATATGCGACGTAAAATCTTGTTCTTTTAGTAGTGTCTCAAAGCACGTATTTAGTAGGATTATTCCCAGAGGGACCTGAACGTCTCGACCAAATAGTGGAATTAGTGGCGAGTTGAAAAATCACCAAGGAAAAAGTTTACGAGCCAAGTGTCTATGCTTTCTAGTGACTAGTGAATAGTGATAGCCAGAAATGGAATGTTTGTAACATTTTGTTTGACTTTAAAAAAAAAAAAGGGCGAGTATGAAAGTACATAGAAGATGTAGTGCTGTAGGTTTTTCTGCTTGAAAAAGCTCATTTCTTAATATAACTTTTGATTTTGTAATTCTATTAATTATAAATGCGTTTTTGTAATGATGGATGGATGAATAAATGTAAATTAAATTTGGTTCATGGGTAGGTTATACCCTCAATTGCTACATAGGATGGGTTATGGGATACAGCTCTTTTTGTAATATAGCGGATATCTTGATAGACCAAGATAATAAGTTGGCTCCTCTCCATCTCCATTCGCCGTGTGGTCCCGGCATAGAATAAGCCTTCTTTTATGGATGTCGTAAGATTCGACTATGTCGTAAGAGAGGGCGAGGGATGGGCAGCAACGTCCTTCTTAAAACATCTCTAAAAGCCTAACTGCGGTTGCCAACCTGCTTATTAAGCAAGGCAATTACTGGCAAAACTCCCCTTATGAAGAAGGCTTATGTTTAGCGGTGGACAGTCTATGGCTGAAATAATATTTTTTATTTAT